ATGAGAACCCTCGAATAATCTTGAAAGCAGAGAATTTGTTCAGGTTCCAGCAGCAAAATCAATCCTTTCATTACTGTGGTTGTACATTTACACTGCCCGCTGCCACCTAGCTCTGCTCTTCTCCTCTAAAGAATCGGGGTCTTAAATGGACACCAAATTTAATTCTCTTTGAGCCCCTTTCCTTGCCTAATTCTGCTTGCCCAATCAATCCATGTATTTGTAGTGAGGCTTCTAATCAATGAACTTCGACTACTTTCTCATACCAATGAAAAACACAGGAGTAGACACTTGCCCCAAGCTGCACCTAGATACTTTATCTTTCAAACTTTGAAGGTAAAGACACAGGAGGGAAAACCTGAAATAATCTGAAGATTTCTTGAGGGGGCCAGGTGTCATAGTTCTTAACGATTCCTAGCTCCTGTATCTCTTCTTGATTCCTACCTTCTATGTTCCAATCAAGCTTAATTTTATGATCATGTAAGTCAAATTCCTAGAAGTTAAATATTGTATTTTATATGAGAGTAGAAATATTTGTGTACTGTTCATGTGTTACTTACCAGTGTTGTAATCTTGGACTGGTTTCATGATTTCTCTTTGCCTCCATTTTCTTATCTGTAAAATGAAAATAATAACATCATAAATATCTCATAATACTGCTTTGAGTTAATCTATACAAAGCGCTTTATTAAGTACAAAGTAAGCACATAGAGCCAAATAAATGTGATCATTTTAATTTTATGGATGATATTAAATCTTTAAAGTATTTTGAAACTAGAAATTTAAAGGAATTTTCTTATTAATTCAAGTATTCTTGGTATTCTAAGTAGAAAAATCATATTGTATATAATTAATGGTAATTTAATTCTATTTTTAACTTTCATTTCTTAACTTTTCTTGTCTATGTGTATTTTTGAAAATTTTAAAAGTCAGAACTTTAACTTATATATTTTAAAAGAGTCTTCCTGGGGCTGGGGATGTGGCTCAAGCAGTAGCGCGCTTGC